GACCAGGACCAGGACCAGGACCAGGACCAGGACCAGGACCAGGACCAAAACCAAACAGACAAGGAACTCTGTTATTTAAAATAAGGATCTATTAAAATAAGCTTCTTCTGAGAAGAAGCTTAGAACTTAAGGAAAATTGTAAGATTTTGGCTAAGTGTAACCCCTAAACCAAATACTTAAAACCCCCTTAAAATTATCTTGTCTCTTGCCAATCACAGGTCTGGTCCACTTAAAATAACGAATAGACAATCACTCTCTTAATTGTGAATGTGGCTAATTGATGGTTTACTTCAAAAATGTCTCCTATCAGGCTATAAAACTGAACTTCTTAGCCCCGGCAGTCAATAGAAGTTATCTTTGGTTTCCATGAACAATCAATTAGAGATGAGAATGAGCAAATAATTTGGTAATACAAGTTATATATTAATTATTTTAAAGCAAGAAAAAATAAAATTATTATAACTCTTTACACATATATATGCCCATTTATCTGGAATGGAGGAAGAAAAAGGAAGTCTTTTCATTATCATAATTATTGCAGAATCCTCCAAATTAGATTCTCAGTCACTGTCAATGAACCCCAAGTTTACCTAAACTTACAGAACTATGCTCTTGGATATTTTAAAGAAAGGTAAGACATGCAGAATTGAGTAGGCTACCAAACAATCAGTACTACATAATTATATTACCTTAGCAAGTTAAATAGCATGGAAATTTAAGGTACAATATGAAAACTGTATAGAAAAATCAACATTTACCAGAAAATTGTCTGTTATCACATTGTTATCAAAGATTCATCCTGGGTCTTTGGGTTCTAGTTTACTAAGTGCCAGACCTGACATCTTTCCACATAGCCCTCAAAAGGTGACAATTCCAACCCAAGTAAAGTCCTATCCCAAAATATAAGGGAAAAATATTAAAATATAAACCTGTTGGTTGCCATGAAGTAAGAAGTCTGTGCTAAGTCCTTGCTTGCTAAAAAAAAAGGGGGGGGCCCCCCCAAAAATTATTAGTTCCTTCCATTCTCAACAATTATTTAGTGAACATTTAATATTTCCATGTAGAGAATATCATAACGAATAAGGCAGACAGGGTCCTTGATCACCTGCTATTTAACATTATACCAAAAGTGACAAATTAGTTTTTGTGATTACAATAACTATGCTGCTTCCAGACCTAGGAACTCAAGCTTTCTACACACCAAATATTTGGGGTACTTGTTTAAAATGCAATTCCTGGACATCCTCCCTACAGTGTGACTCACTATGTCTGGAGAAGGATACAAGCATTTTTAATAGGTAACCCAGAAATTCTGATGCAAGAGTTCACTGAGAAATACTGAACTGGAAGATGAACTAATTTGGAGGCAAGATCAGAACCCAGAATACCTTGATATATTTGGTAAAAGTGATTTGTGCTTTAAAAAAAAAAAAAAAAAAAAAGGTTTTTAATGGAGTATCCTGTGATTCATACCCCAAATCATCAAATAACATGAATTACTGATATATCATAATTAAGGGGGGGAAAAAAAAACAATGACACATCCCTCTTTCCCCAAAAAACTTCTCTGGGTAAAATAAAGCAAATTTTAATCTTTCTTAAAACTCAGTCTTTTCAATATTAGCATGTATCTACCTCTGTTTAACCTTATCCTTGTTCAAAATAAACCTTCTTATGCTTTCAAAATATAAAGAACTTGGGGAAACTTTGGAAGGCAGCTATGCTCACCACTATACCACCACAACTCCCACAAGAAGTTGGGAAAACTTTGGGAATTTACAGATGAAGCACACATTAGCAAAATATAAAATAAAGCCGATTGTTAGTTTCATCTACAAAATGAAAAGGCACTCCAATGCACAAGTGTCTAGATATTGCTACTACTATTAAACTAAGTAAAAGGAACAAGGTTACTAGGTTAAATTAGAAAAAAAAAAAAAAGGAAGTCCTGCCAAGGGTTTGTCAATCATGGAAATAAGTCAAATAAACTCTACATGATCCTCTGAGTGGCCTAGGACAATCAACCCTAAAATCAAATTAAGATCACCACTCCCAAAATAACCTTAAACTATTAGATACTCATGATTTGACTTTATAAAATCCGCTCCAGGCTCTGAGAAACATCCTCAAGAGGCTAATTCTCTTTAACTGGAGAATTGTTCTTAAAAATTTTAAGAACCCAGGGCACCTAGGTAACTCAGTGGGTTAAGCATCCATCTTGGGTTCAAGTCATGATCTTATAGTTCGTTCAAGCCCCAAATCAGGCTCTGCACTGACAGCACAGAGCCTGCTTCAGATTCTCTGTCTCCCTCTCTCTGCCCCTCTCCCACACGCATGTTCTTTCTCGTTCTCTCTCAAAAATAAACATTAAAAAAAAAAAATCCTCGGGGCACCTGGGTGACTCAGTCAGTTAAGCGTCTGACTTCAGCTCAGGTCATGATCCCACCATTGGTGGGTTTGAGTCCCACCAACTCAACTTTAAAATCTCAAGTTAGAGGGGTGCCTGGGTGGCTCAGTCAGTTAAGTGTCTGACTTCAACTCAGGTCATGATGTCATGGTTCATGAGTTTGAGCCCTGCATTGGGCTCTGTGCTGACAGCTCAGAGCCTGGAGCCTGCTTCAGATTCTTTGTCTCCCTCTCTCTCTGCCCCTCTCCCACTTGTGCTCGCTCACGTTCTCTCTCTCTCCCAAATATAAACATTAAAAAAATTTTTTTAATAAAATAAAATCCCAAGTTAGAAACACTCATTTTGATTTAAACCAGACAGTCCTTTCAATTTAACTTCTAGCTAAATTAGCTGTTATATATCTGTCCACCATAAATAAATCATAGCCATTAAATGGTAAAACAATTTAAGACAACCGTTTCAAGCTGGGATTCCTTACCTCGAACGAGTTGAGTGCACTTTACCACATGTGTATGTGGATGATCAATTGTTAGTTCAAATCCTTTTAAAAAAATAAAATAACTAGTTAAAAAGCTAAAGATACTAGAGTCATTTTATACTTCTGAGTCATCATTAAAGGCCTCTCTCATTTTCCTCTCCCAAAAAGTGCTGTTCAGAGACTAAGAGGGTCACACAACATACACAGCATGCTCTTCTCTAAGACATATGATCTTCAATGACACTTATATTTTGAGCTAAATAATAAAGCTAATGCACTTTTAAGACTCCTGAGGAACCAATAATCTCTAAATAGAAAACACTTTTTCTAGGGACAATAGAATATAAGGTTAGAATAAACAGTCATTCAAGTAGTAACTTCTAAAGCTTAACCTTGAGAAAACATTTTAAAACCTATTCCTCTTGGGGCACCTGGGTGGCTCAGTCAGTTAAGCGTCTTGGCTCGGGTCATGATCTCACAGTTGGAGCCCCACGTTGGGCTCTGCGCTGACAGTGTGGGGCCTGCTTAGGATCCTCCGTCTCCCTCTGTCTCTGCCCCTCCCTGCTCATGCTCTCTTTCTCTCAAAATAAACAAACAAACAAAAAACTACTCCTTTAAAAAATTTTTTAATAAAATAAAAATAAACTTAAAAAAACGACTACTTTTATCTCAGTTTTGTTCCTTTTCAACATTCTAACTTATAATAATAAGTAGTAATCATTTATTTAATCCCAAATGGTCTTTACCAAAAATACTTAAGGAGAAATTGGTCTATAAAAAATTTTTAGTTTCTTTTCTTTTGCATATGTAAATAAAATTTTCTAGATACAATTAAAAAATTCTACTGAGAAATTTACATGATGTAAATTATTCTAAATGGATGACTCAGGCAAATTAAATCTTAGTGGCTTCCACATTAAAACATTAATAAAAATTTATTCCACCAGAAAAATATCATTGTCCCCTAAAATACGTTACTTTGAAGATAATTTAAAGTAAAAAGCTAATTAACATAAACTAACTTCAGAGATAAGCTTTGCAGAACTGTGTGTACAGACATGCAATAATACAGCTATACCAGTAACTTTCCAACACGACTCAGGAAATCTTCCCTTCCCAGAGAAGAGAAAAATAGCCCAAAAGAACTAAGAAAAAAAATCTTTGTTTTCCATATTTGGTAAGCTTTTAAAGGCAGTGTCTCTGATAAAAATAATAATAGATAATAGCATCATCAGCATTGCCCATCAACCATGATAGCTTGAATTTCTCCACCTCCACTTTGCTAAACACTGACTACCAATTTTAAAAATAAATGCTATTATCTAAATATGATGACAAACATGGGAATGCAAGCTGGTGCAGCCACTCTGGAAAATAGTATGGAGGTTCCTCAAAAAACTAAAAATAGAACTATCCTATGACCCAGCAATTGCACTACTAGGCATTTATCCATGGGATACAGGTGTGCTGTTTCGAAGGGACACATGCACTCCCATGTTTATAGCAGCACTATCAACAATAGCCAAAGTGTGGAAAGAGCCCAAATGTCCACTGATGGATGAATGGATAGAGAAAACGTGGTATATATATACAATGGAGTATTACTCGGCAATCAAAAAGAATGAAATCTTGCCATTTGCAACTACATGGATGGAACTGGAGGGTATTATGCTAAGTGAAATTAGTCAGAGAAAGACAAAAACCATATGACTTCACTCATATGAGGACTTTAAGAGACAAAACAGATGAACCTAAGGGAAGGGAAACAAAATTAATATAAAAACAGGGAGGGGGACAAAACAGAAAAGACTCATAAATATGGAGAACAAACTGAGGGTTACTGGCGGGCTTGCAGGAGGGGGGATGGGCTAAATGGGTAAGGGCCATTAAAGAATCTACTCCTGAAATCATTGTTGCACTATATGCTAATTTGGATGTAAATTTTTAAAAATAAAAAATAAAATTAAAAAAATATAGGGGCGCCTGGGTGGCGGAGTCGGTTAAGCGTCCGACTTCAGCCAGGTCACGATCTCGCGGTCCATGAGTTCGAGCCCTTGCGTCAGGCTCTGGGCTGATGGCTCGGAGCCTGGAGCCTGTTTCCGATTCTGTGTCTCCCTCTCTCTCTGCCCCTCCCCCGTTCATGCTCTGTCTCTCTCTGTCCCAAAAATAAATAAACATTGAAAAAAAAAATTTTTTTTTTAAATATATAATAACAATAATAATAGTAATAAAATAAATATAATGACAAACAGATCATAAAAATCTGTAAAGGAAAAAGTTCTTTAGTTTCTACCATTATTTATCAGAGAGTTAAAAACTGGGGGCGCCTGGGTGGCTCATTTGGTTAAGTATCGGACTTCAGCTCAGGTCATGACCTCACAGTTCATGAGTTCCGAGCCCTGCTGACAGCTCAGAGCCTGGAGCCTGCTTCAGAATCTGTGTCTCCCTCTCTCTGCCCCTCCCCCGCTCACACTCAGTGTATGTGTGTGTCTCTCTCAAAAATAAACATTTAAAAAAACTTTTTTTAAAAATTGGCCAACCTAGGGGCGCCTGGGTGGCTCAGTCGGTTAAGCGGCCGACTGGCTCAGGTCATGATCTCATGGTCCGTGAGTTCGAGCCCCGCGTCAGGCTCTGGGCTGATGGCTCAGAGCCTGGAGCCTGTTTCCGATTCTGTGTCTCCCTCTCTCTGACCCTCCCCCGTTCATGCTCTGTCTCTCTCTGTCTCAAAAATAAATAAACGTTAAAAAAAAATTAAAAAAAAAAAAAATTGACCAACCTTAAAAAGCAAATCATGAACCCAAATTTTAAACACCCTGCTAACTGCTACTCCATAGGTTGGCTATACCTGCACTCTCCACACTCCACAACCTCTATAATTTGCAAAAACCTTCAGTAGAAATTTTCTTCCTGTTTCCTATTTTGCAAATTTAAAAATATTATATTACATTCATTTTTTAATGTTTTAAAGAAAAAAAACTTACCTAAAGTCTGCAGAATTATGCTTTCTAATATCACCAGATCTTGAACTTGTTGCAGGTAAGCCTGCAGGTGAGAAGACAGAGAAATTATTCCCCAAAAAGGCACAATATATGAAGTGTAAACAATTCTAACACCCCTTCCAGGGAAACTAAAGCAACAAAAGGCAGGAATGGAGTTAGGAGGTAGAGTAGGAACTAAAATAGAATCCTTATATCTATTCAGCACAAATTCTCCTCTTAAAAGAAGAAAACAAGTGGTATACTGAGATATAACACTTTATTGATAACTGGCTACAGAAAAGGCACCAGAGATTTGGCTCATTTTCAAGAATAATATTTGTGATGCAGACATAGATAATTAAAAATACATGTTTTTCAACATCACCAAAATACATCTGTAGACCCTTCCTATAGTACTATAGGCAATATCAAATATTTGACTACTGATAAACCTTTGAGGTAGATTTCTAAAAATTATAAAAAGAGTTCAAAGGAAAAGGGAATAAACTAACAGAAAAAAACTCTCTCATATTTGTACCAGCCAATACTATAGCCACTATCCACACATGGCTACTGAGCACTTAAAATGTAGCTAAATTTAAATGTGTAATAGAATATACACCAAATTTTGAAGACTTAATTTTAAAAAATGATGCAAATTACCTCATTAATAAGGTTTTAATATGCTGATATATTTGGTGTTAAATTATATAAATTATATAAATTATATAAAAATCATTAAAATTTCTTCTTCTAAATGAATATTCCATTTTTTTAATGAAGATTTTAAATCAAATTCAACGAAATGTCAAAAATTTTTAATTACACATGGCTCCCATTATATTTCTATTGGAAAGGAATGGTCTAGACCTCTAGGAAAATGAGACTGAGGGAGGAGTTAGATCTATATACTGTAGTGAACTTTCCACTTTATGATCCTGAGGAAGTCCAGTAAGGACTTAAACTATGCCAGTTCTCCTCTCCATATAGTGAAGAAAATATCTTCTCCTAAGATTCATCATCTCATGAGAGCACTGGGTGTTGTATGGAAACCAAGTTGACAATAAATTATACTTACAAAAATAAAAAAAAAGAAAAAAAGGATTCATCATCTCATGAGGAATAGAAACTCAAGTGAGGGGCACCTGGATGGTTCAGTCAGTTAAGCGTCTGATTTGACTCAGGTCATGATCTCACGGTTCCTGAGTTTGAGCCCCACATTGGGCTCTGTGCTGACAGCTCAGAGCCTGCAACCGGCTTTGGATTCTGTGCCTCCCTCTCCCTCTCTGCCCCTCCGCCCCTCCCCTGCTCATATGCAGTCTCTCTCTGTCTCTCAAAAATAAACAAACATTAAAAAAATTAAAAAAAAAAAAAAAAAAAATCAGGTGAGAAGTTATATAAATACACTTTAAAGGGAAAAAAATGAGAATTATTTTTTTTTTTATTTTTTTAAAAAAAAATTTTTTTTTTTTTTTTGTTTTTTTTTTCCCCTTTTTTTTTTATTATTAAAAAAAAAAAAAAAAAAAAAAAAAAAAAAAAAAAATGTCCAGGGCAATATAAGTCTTTCAAGAAGAGCTACTGCTGTACCCAGAGAAAATGATGTCAAGACACTGCTATGCAAAACAATTCACATAATTAGGGGCTATTATCAAAATAAAAAGAACCCTCTCAAAAATAACTTTCTCCAATATGAGCAAAACACGCAAATTTATTTGATATAGGATGACTCATGCATCCATTGTAAGAGACAGAAGTAATCTAGTAACAGAAACCCATAGTTCAAATACTTACAAATGGTCAGACCTCAAAATTTCTCACAACTCATCACTCTCCAACAAGACTTTTTTTAAGTTTATTTTGAGAAAGCAAGAGAGCACACTCTAGAGAGAGCACACAAGCAGGGGAGGGGCAGGGAAAGAAGAAGAGAGAAGTTTCCAGGTAGGTTCCGTGCTGCCAGTGCAGAGCCCAACATGGGGCTTGAACTCGCAAACTGTGAGATCATAACCTGAGCCAAAACCAAGAGTTGGACACTCAACCATCTGGCCACCCAGGCACCCCCTGCACCCCAAAGAGACTACTAAAGCCAGGACAGAGTTTCCCCTCTTTAAAAAATGGAGGGTAAAAAAAAGCTATGTGCACATGCATAGGACAAAGGTCTGATAGAATATATACTGGAATTATAATCAGTAATATCTTGCTAAGAGGAAGGAAGATGAGCTTTAACTTTTACTTCAAATGATTCTTAAATGTTTGGATTCTTTTTTTTTTTTTTTTTAAGTTTATTTTTGAGAAAGTGCACCATCAGGGGAGGGACACAGAGAGAGGGAGCCGGAAGATCCAAAGCAGGCTCTGCAGTGACAGCAGAGAGCCTGATGCAAGGGCTCTCATTAAGAACTGCAAGGTCATGACCTGAGCGGAAGCCGGTCGCTTAACCAACTGAGCCACACGGGCGCCCCAAATGTTTGGGTTCTTTCATAACAAGCATATAAATCTTTTGTAATTTCTGTAAAAGTGAAAAAAAAAAAAAAAAGTAACAGGACTCATTTTTTTAAGAATTCACAACAAAAATATATTTGTAAGAATATTATTCACAATATTATACTGGTACAAAGTTGGAAATTATGTTAGCAGGCAATGAATGATTATATATGTACATAAGGAAATAAATTATCTCAACACTTAAAGAAAATGGAGAATAAGATGGGAAAATATTTAGGGGGCACCTGGGTGGGTCAGTCGGTTAAGTGACCACCTCTTGTTTCGGTCCAGGTCATGATCTCATGGTTTGGAAGTCTGAGCCTCATGCCAGTCCTTATGCTGACAGTGTAGAGCCTGCTTGGAATTCTCTCTCTCCCTCTCCCTCTGCCCCAATCTCTCACTCTCTCAAAATAAATAAATAAACTTAAAAAATATATATTAAAAAAAGAAAATATCTGGGATAATAATAAGTGAAAAAGACACACAAAATATGTACGTGTGTGGCTATTCATAGAAAAGCAGCTGGAAATAATGATTCACCTACATATCCGTGGTTCAAATTATATCTAAATAATATATTTTTTCTGTTTTCCTGTGTTTTCCAATTTTACTATAATGTATACAATTAACTTTTGCCATAAAGTTTCTGATTTTTTGTAAAGGAAAACACTGAAAGTTTAACAGCCCCCATTTGACTTCAGCAAATCAAAGTTACAAAATTAAATTATCATCAAGATAAAGAAAAACAGATATGTGTAATTAATCCCTTACCTCACTCCTAGTATCAGGAAGTGATTCCTGTGGATGGAGACAAGTATGTGCTACCTTGATGACGTGTTCCAATTTTTTTGGTTGCTCCTCTACTTTAGCTGCTAGAAATAAGGCCGCTGGAGCCACAGACTGGATGGAGAGAAAATAAATCGTATTTATTTCTAGATCGAAGGAAATCTAAAAAAGAACTAAGTCTCAAACCAAGTTCTTTGCCTGCCTCAACTTCATCACTTCTTGTTAATGCCTTTTCTTCTACTTAAAATGTCCTCCCCTCTCCTACCCATTAATTCGCATCCACTCCTGAAAACCAATCCTTCAACAAACTACCTACTTAATGCAAGAAACTACTAGGTGTAAATAGTTGGCTTTTCATTTAAAATAAAATTCTTTCTTTAAGTTTATATCATAGCCCTCTGTATACTTTTTTTTAAAGGAGTACACTGAAAGTAATTAGTGGTCGCCAGGAGCTAGAAGAGGACAAGAATGGGAGTGATCACTAATGCTTAAGAAGTTTCTTTCTGGGGTGATATAAATGTTGTGGAATTAGATCATGGTGAAGGTTGCACACCTTTGTGTGTTAACTGTACACTTTAAAACCAGCTAATGGTACACTTTAAAGGATAAATTGTATTTTATGTGAATTATCTCAAGTACACTTACATATGAGGGAGCACAAATCTCAAGGGAATTCAAAGAATATTATTACATTCAAGAGGCTATACAAAGAAAGCACTTAGGGAGGGAAAGAATCTCAAGCCAACACACAAGTAGACAACAAATTCAGTCACTAAACAATATAAGAGATTAGAGCAATAGGACATAAGTGTAGCCTGGTAGTGATCTAGAAAACCTCAGGAAGAATTCTTTTGAATCTTAACAAGAATACTTCAATGAATCAAAGATGGAAGTGGCAAGAGGCAGGAGTCAAAGAAATACAATAAATAATTTTTTACACAACTTAAATATCCACTTTACTGAGTAGAACTGACAAGCATTCTAATACTTATTTGTATCCCCGCTATCTGCTACTTTGCTAGAAGAGATTTTTATCCACAAATTCAATTCACAGTAACAATTCTCTTCCTTCATATTTGCTGCATATTTCCTTCATATTTGTATGGAGCCATATTTGTATGCAGCAAGCTCCATATACATACATTCCTAGACCTTAGGATAAGCAAAGCAGAACCAGAGGAAAATTGTCATGAACAAGATGTGGGGAATCAGAGCAGGAAGCACACTAAACTGAGTAGGTGACACAGATAACAGGATGTGGAACACAAAAGATCTTTAACAAGAGAGTGACACTAGGGGCGCCTGGATGGTTCAGTTGGTTAAGGTCCAATTTCGGGCTCAGGTCATGATCTCATGGTTTGTGGCATCAAGTCCAGTGTCGGTCTCTGTGCTGGCAGTGGGGAGCCTGCTTGGAATTCTCGCTCTCTCTCTCTCTCTCTGCCCCGCCCCCTTCACATGCATGTGCGCACACTTTCTCTCTCTCTCAAAAATAAATAAAATGAACATTAAAAAAACAACACACAAAAGAGTGACACTAAAGATTTTAGGAAAAAAAATGTATAGTTTAGGAAACATTTAGAAAGATATCTTTGGTCCCAGGAGGGACCAAAAGGAAGAAAGAATGAAATGCATTAAAAGGTAATTTAAAGGGGTGCCTGGGTGGCTCAGTCGGTTGAGCGTCCGACTTCAGCTCAGGTCACGATCTCACGGTCCGTGAGTTCGAGCCCCGCGTCGGGCTCTGGGCTGATGGCTCGGAGCCTGGAGCATGCTTCCGATTCTGTGTCTCCCCCTCTCTCTGCCCCTCCCCCGTTCATGCTCTGTCTCTCTCTGTCTCAAAAATAAATAAAAACGTTAAAAAAAAATTTTTTTTAAAAAAAGGTAATTTTTAAAAAAATTAATAATCCAGGTATTAAAAAATAAAGTTTAGAGTAGGAACTAGCAATACAAATGAGGGGAAAAAAAACACAGGCATGATTTTAGAAAATTAATAGGGTTTCACTAAACGTATGTATTTGCATGCAGAAAAAAAAAAATCCTAAAATGGTAACAGGGTTATCTCCAAACAGTGTAAGAATATCATCATTTCCTCCTTTACTCTCGGTCTTCTTTTAATTTTATGATGATGACTGCGCACCAATAGAGACATAAAAACAGTTAACACTATAAAAATTAACAGGACTTTATAACTGATTTGAAAAAATGGAAAAGAACTACTTAATGACAATACTAAGATTCTAAGCCTACAACTTTGCCTTCAAAGAGCTAAAAATGTATTTGAAAGGCAGAAACTAAAACATAGTATACTAACAATAACTAAGAAGGCAAGATAATAATGAAATGACTACAAGAGATAAATTTTAATCTAACTTTTGTGCAGTCAACCATGTAAATACTCATTGTTCCTCATGGAATCACTTACCAAGCCAGTTTATCAAAACATTTTCCCATTAAAGGCAGTTTCTAAGAGGAATTCTTATACTAGGTAAGAGTTTAACATTTTCTCCATTTTGTTTTATTTAAGTTTATTTATTTGAAAGAGAGAAAGAGTGAGTGGGAGAAGGGCTGAGCAAGAGGAGAGAGTGAGAATCCCAAGCAGGCTCCGCACTGCCAGCGCAGAGCCCGATGCGGGGCTCGAACCCATGAACCATGAGATCATGACCTGAGCCGAAGTCGGACGCTTAACCGACTGAGCCACCCAGGCGCTCCTACATTTTAACAGAATAAAAACGCTGGGGCGCCTGGGTGGCTCAGTCGGTTAAGCGTCCGACTTCGGCTCAGATCACGATCTCGCAGTCAGTGAGTTCCAGCCCCGCATCAGGCTCCATGCTGACAGCTCAGAGCCTGGAGCCTGCTTCCGATTCTGTGTCTCCCCCGCTCTCTGCTCCTCCCCGTGCTCACACTCTGTCTCTGTCTCTCAAAAATGAATAAACATTAAAAAACATTAAAAAAAATAAAAATTAAAAAAATAATAAAAATGCCACTTAATATTTGTTTGCTATGTACAGGCATTTTGTAAATTAATTCATTTAAATCTTATTAATACTCTATGAGACAGGCACTGTTACTGACTCCAAAGAGATGAAAAAACTGAGGCCTATGTAACTTACCCAAAGCCATAGAACTAGTAAGCAGTGCAACAAAAATCCAAATCTAGACAGGTCTGACTTCAGAGCCCATCCTCTTAACCACTAAGCTTGACCCCTTACGGATTAGCTAATCAGAATAAAATACACATAATCAAATCAGTTAGTTATCAAAATACAACACCCACATTTTACAATATATGAAATACAACATAAACACACATACCAAGTTGGTCACCACTAATTTTATATTCCCCCATTTGAAAATATTTAAAATAATACATATAGAAATTCAATTCATAAGGTTAAATTTCTTCTCAAAAAGAGAGTAATGCAATGCCAGAATTTAAGTAAAAATAAATCATTCAATCATGTTCACTAAAGAAATAAAACTTATTTCCATTGAAAGGCAACCTCTCTATCTTCCAGAGTGTTTGAAATATATTTTATCTTGATATAAGTGATGCAAAATACAATAATGCAAAAATTAATCAAGTTGCACACTTCAGATTTTTATGCTTTACTGTTCAATAATTTTTTTAAAAAAACAAATGTTTAAAAAGCAAGAGCTCTAGGCTCCAAAACACTGAAAAATGAGAAAAGTACCCACAACATGTGAAATACAGCTCTAACACATAAGAGCTCATATAAATTAGGAAATCAGGACAAAAGCGGGACAAAGGGAATCAACAATTTTTAGTCAATTCTTCAATTTCATAAGAACAATTACCAATAGGTGTAAGAAACTCAACTTCACTAACTGAAGAAATGTAAATTAAGAAAATAATTTAGGACTACCTCTATCTTGTTCACCACTGTATCCCAAGTGCTCAACAAGTAGTTAAAACTTGGTATTTCCTGATGTAATGAATAGAAGTTCTGATGTAATGAATAGAAGTTATTTGTGATGAAGCAGAGAAAAGGATCCTCTCTTACAGTGCTATAAACAATGCATACTGATATAATCTTTCAGTAGGGCAAACTGACACAATGAAACAATGTATACTGATATTATCTCAGTAGGGCAAACTGACATAAAAATTTTTCAAATGCAGTCTCCTGGATACAGCAATTTCACCTATAGGAATTTATATTAGAACAATCACATAAGTCACATACTATATATGTACCAATTTTATGTAACACTATTTGTAATTAATAAACTAGAAACAACCCAAGTATCTACCAATAGGGAACTGAAATAAATTATAGTAACTACACAAATAAATACTACGTGACCATTTAAAGTATAGTTGACCCTCAAAAACACATTTGGGGCACATTTGGGGTTTGGGGCACCTGGGTGGCCCAATGGGTTAAGCATCTGACTTCGGCTCAGGTCATGATCTCCCAGTTTGTGAGTTCGAGCCCTGTGTCAGGCTCTGTGCTCAGAGCCTGGAGCCTGTTTCAGATTCTATGTCTCCGCCTCTCTCTGCCCCTCCCCCATTCACACTTTCTCAAAAATAAACAAACATTAAAAAAAAACTAAAAAAAAAACAAACAAAAAAAAAAACAAAAAAACCCCACGGGTTTGAACTGTGTGGGTCCACTTATATGTGGGTTTTTTTCTATAAATATAGTCCAGTACTGTAAATGTATTTTCTCTTCCTCATGATTTTAGTATTTTCTTTTCTCCAGCATATTTTATTGTAAGGATATGGTATATATAACGCAAAAAGAAAACTATGTGTTGACTGTGTTATTGGTAAGGCTTCTGGTCAACAGCAATCTATTAGTAGTTAAGTGTTTGGGGAATCAAGAGTTATATGTGGATTTTTGACTATGTGGGCGTCAGTGCCCCATCCCCACCCTGTTCAAAAGTCAACTGTAATGAAAAACCAATACAAACAGATAGAATATACTGTTAACTGATAAAAGCAATTTGCTTAAGAGTATAGTAAGAAATGATTTTTTTACTAGAAATAAATAAATACCAGTATATTTATTAAAAAATGTCCAAGACCCGAAATAACAAAACATTTATCAGTGGTTACCTCCAGAGGGTGGGATTACAAAGGAGCTTTCACTTTCCACATTATACATGTCTTTCTTTCCTACTTTTTTTTAAGTTTATTCATTTATTTTAAGAGAGAAAGAGGGGCGCCTGGGTGGCGCAGTCGGTTAAGTGTCCGACTTCAGCCGGGTCACAATCTCGCGGTCCGTGAGTTCGAGCCCCGCGTCAGGCTCTGGGCTGATGGCTCAGAGCCTGGAGCCTGTTTCCGATTCTGTGTCTCCCTCTCTCTCTGCCCCTTGCCGTTCATGCTCTGTCTCTCTCTGTCCCAAAAATAAATAAACGTTGAAAAAAAAAAAAAAAAAAAAGAGAGAAAGAGAGTGTGCGAGTGGGGAAGAGGCAGGGAGAGAGAATCCCAACAGACTCTACACTGCCAGCAGTGAGCCCAATGTGGGGCTTGATCTCATGAACTGTGAGACCATGACCTGAAATCAAGAGTCAGACCCTTAACCAACTGAGTCACCCAGGCACCCCTACATTATACATTTCTATATTAATTTTTACCGTATTTATTACCTTTGTAATGGTAAAAAAAAAAAAAATAATACCATGAAAAATGCATGGCAGCTTGACTGGACAAATATCAATGCTACAATAATGTATGATGTGATTTATAATTTGAATTTCAACTTATCACAAGTAAACTCTTAAAAATTAAGATATTAAAGGGTGATATTTTTGATCTGTTAATTTTCAAATGTGCCTAAAATCAATTCTCTAGAGAGAAACAACAATCCCAAATTTAAACTCACTGGATTTTGGGAAAGGTCACGCCATCCACTAGAGTCTCTCTATATTGAATAATTATCAAATCATATTCAAATTTACTGAAGGTGCTTTGGAGGATATACAGAAAAGTGAGTCTCTGTCCTTGCTAAGCGTATAATACATAGGAAGTAAGGAAAAAATATACTTTACCATAATAAAAGAGAAGACATTTAGAAAACTTTTAGAATTGGCAAGACAGCTATGGACTCTGTCTTCAAATTTCATTCTTTATCCACACTGCCTTCTATTCTAGAACTATCAGATACCCTCAATAAATGCTTTTCTCTGTCTTAGTTTGCTCCTTGCAATCAGAGGTAGGGCATGGTTGCACGTAAAAGGTCTACTGATAGGACAAAGCCAAGCTGACTGGATAATTGGCAAAAATTCGGAACACTTAATCCACAGATCCAAAGGGTTTCCTGTGAGTATGCCAATATCTTACAGGAGCAATATCTAGCTTCACAGATTCTCTTTCTATGGCATTAAAAAAAAAGAGGTCAAAGCTATCATCCTAAGGACAAGTCTTGAAAACTTTTCCACAAAACATAACCTTTCTTTAAAAAAAAGATGAAATATTTGACTCACAAATCCATACGAAGTATTCATCAGGTTTAACCCTATTACCTTGTGATTTTATTAAACAAATAGTCTTACCTGCAACCGGGAAATCACTATGCACTCGCTTCCAAGTCACTTATAATAATGTTAAATAGGACCATTTCAGGTATCAAAACTGAAAATAGCACTATTTACAATTCTGTCCAGAAAAAAAAAATCCCTTTACTACTATTATTCTCTTTTTCCTGTCTTAAAAGTCACCCCCCAGTCATCACATAATGTGCCTTCCCTTCCCAACTGGTCACTGAATCATTTACATTCACCAGTTTTCCTGTGACTATATTATTATCTAGTATTTCAAAAATTACACTTAAATTAAGCATTGTTTCCCCTTTAATGCTCCTCTCCCATCCCCAAAATGCTAAGTTTAAGTGTTCAATAATCTTTTCATAGAGAATCCACCTATTCTAAGGATACACTAAGCCTACCAAATAACTACCAAAGCAGGAAAAGTGGAAGCATTGGATTCAGTGTGGCACATAATGATCCCATTGAAATCCCAGTTCACCAACAAAGATCACAAACACACACACATGTTGGAATCAATCACGAAAGGATTACACATACAACAAAATACTTACATTTCGATGGAACTGTGTAAAGGACTGAATCATGTAGAATCGATGCATGTATACTATAGCAGTGTTGATAGTCAATTGTGAGCTAAAATGTTCGTTAAGGCCCCAAAACAGACTGCCAGCACGATTCCCGAAAATACAACCTGTATATCCTCCCAAAAGGACCATGCAGCCATGCACAATACATGCTTCTAAAGGAAAATCATACATAATTTTCCAAATTAAAGAGCAAATCTGTTTTCTTTCACCAAGTTATTAATCACCAATTGACACCTAACATAATGCCTTACATACATACAACAGATATTCAATATAACAATATGCTAAATTGATACACAAGCAAGCTTCTTAGCACATGGGGATCAAGAAGGATATAAAAAATTTACCTAAGACCTAAACCAGTCACTTGCCTCCTGAAAATCTTGCAGTGGTGATCCATTAACTCAGGGTATCTCTTCACATGACTTACAACATTACACCTTCCGTGATCCAGGCCCTAGGTATGTCTCCACTATCTCCTCACCTTCTGACCTCTAGAAATTAACTTTCCACTCCCACTTGTCTCTGGCAACTAATAAGCCTTTCCATATGGTGATCCCTTGGACCAGAAACACTATGGAATGATTTTATATTCATTCACTGACAAGAAAAAAACTTAAATGCCTTTACTTCTAAAGCCCTCAGAAGACAATGTGGGTTGTTATTCAGAGAAAAGGTCGTCATCCCATGACGGCAACAACCTTAACAACAACACACATATAAAAAAGGATTAGATGTATGGAAACAGAATTTAAATCAAAAAAAAGCTTAACTCAGTACTGAACTGATGCTTAGGAAACAAATTGGATATCTGCAACAAAGAGGACACTTCTTTTGACAGGAGCACAACTTTAAGACACAAACATTACAGCCAGCAACACAATCCACTCAGAAACACACTTAACCCAACACACTTAATCCACTCAGAAATAATTTTCCACTCTCAGACTTTAAAACTATATACACTTGGGGCGCCTGGGTGGCTCAGTCGGTTAAGCGGCAGACTTCGGCTCAGGTCACGATCTTGCACTCTGAGTTCGAGCCCCGCGTCGGGCTCTGTGCTGACAGCTCAGAGCCTGGAGCCTGTTTCAGATTCTGTGTCTCCCTCTCTCTGACCCTCCCCCGTTCATGCTCTGTCTCTCCCTGTCTCAAAAATAAACAAACGTTAAAAAAAAAAAATTAAAAAAAAAAACTATATACGCTTTATCTGTTACAAAATGAGTATATTTTCTAACAAAAATACTTCAAGTGAAATAAGTCATTAAGTTACCTGATCTTTGAAATGCAAAGAAAATACACATTAGAACTCTGAGTAATTTAAAAACCCAACATTTGTAAGTGCTTATTTATTTAAATGCTTTTTTAAAACATTAGATCCTTGGGTCTGTATCCTTACGAACAAGAAACTGACATCCTTCTTTCCTCTGAAATTCTATAGTTTTAACAGTAGCTACCATTTGAAAATCTAAATACCACGCATTGTGTTGGGCACAGAAACTACACGCAAAGGGTAACACTCCATTTTACAGACGAGAAAACCAAGAATTTGACAAGTTTCCTAAACAGCTAGTAATTGGGAGGAACGGATTTTGAACCTAAGCTGGGGCATTAATTCTAGGTCACCCTTTCTTTATAAGCCCTTCAGGTCTTGAATTTCTCAAAACTCTCTTTAAACACTAAGTTCAAGAGGCAGCCATCAACAGTGAAACCTCTACCAAAACCTTAGGGCATAGCGGAAAAGTACAATCTGAAAGTCACCAGACCAAGAGACCACAACACAACGAAAAGGGACTAGGAAAGGCTGGTTAAAACACAAAACTGCGAAGGATACGAACTCCCAGCAAGGCTGATGGCACTGGTGAGCGAGCGGGAAATTAACTCCGCCTCGCTTCCCTCGCGCAAACACTGAATTTGAGGCTGCCCCAACGCAGGTTCTACCACCTAGACATTCAGCCCCTGCCTCCCTCTTCCGTCCCTGACATAGCCTGAGGCCTGGACGCCCGAGCTAGGCGGGTCTGACTCCAAGGCCGGAGGCCTAGGCCGCAAGGATACACGTTAAGACGTTGTCCCATGTCCTGGAGCAGATTGGCCGCCTGCTGGCGAGAAGAAAGTTCTTTATCTGGGTCCAGGCCAAAACGACGGGACGGGCTGTTTTCCAGCTGTTCTCGAGTAAAATACCACCGTTTGTTGTTGTTCTTCCTCTCTCCCTCCATAGTGCTTCAACCAGAAGGCAGCGGCGGAGGCTGCAGCACTTCCCAGCGTCACCTAAGCGGCGACACACATCCGCTGTGCGGGGGCAACCGCGACGTGACGAACTTCCGCTGGAGGATGGACGGCTAGGTTGTGACAGGCTTCCGCAAAGAAGGACTAGATAAGGGGTCTACTTCCGGAATGGACCTCACGACAGCCTGTAGCCGAATTAACAGCCAGTAGGCAACCAGGAAAGACCTTGAGTCTAGGACGCAGGCGCCAGTCATGTGACCCCTGGGAGGTAGGGTGGGGTTAGAAGTTCTCGTTTGAAACCCCATCTCCTCCCGCGAGATCTGGGTTTATCCTTCGCGTGGTGGAAGAGGTGGCGGGGTAAGTGTTGTGGCGGGCGTAGGCGCCCGCCCACGCGCCCCTCGGTGGTTCTTCAGAGAATTTCGTTTGTGGTGGGGGTGGAGGTATATAAATGGTGCCGATTCTGAACTTGACAGAAAACAGGTGAGACTGTCGAAAACTGAAGAAAGTAATCAAAGAGAGTGACCCTATCATATATCGTAGTATAAAGCAACAAGAAAGCTGTTACGTTGTTGGTAACAGTGTAAACTACCCATTTACAAAGCCGCTTTACAACATTTATCCAAAGCCTTGAAAAAATTCCTATCCCTTGCCACAGTGATTCAACATAACGGAATGAAATGAAATGAATAGTGTTAATGAATTTAGCGATTATGGGGCGCCTGGGTGGCTCAGTTAGTTAAGCTTCGGACTTCAGCTCAGGTCATGCATGATCTCACAGTTCGGGAGTTCAAGCCTTGGGTGGGGCTCTCTCAGCACAGAGCCTACTTCCATCCTCTGTCCCTCTCTCTGCCCTTCCTCCCTCTCAAAAAAAATTTTTTTTTAATTTAGTGATTGCTATGTTCCAGGCGCACTATTGACTCTTCATTTAAAAGGCCCAATATCACTACCAAGAGATAGTAGTACTTCAGTCCTCGTTTGGTGGACGAATGAACTAAAACTCCTTCATTGTGGAAAGCTTCCACCTCCACATAACACACGCACAAGTTTGTAAGTCCTTGTCCTCCGTCGAGATATACTCCAGCTGTACTTAGCGTCTTTGTGCCTCTCGTATAAATGGAAATGGTAATAATAGTACCTACAGGTTGTGAGAAGGATTAAATGAAGCTATAATTAGTTAAAAGCCTTTGTAATAGTACCTGGATCATAGGAACATAGAAAACATTGATTAGATGTTATCATAGTGTTTATTATATTAAAATTGAGGGCAAGGACAATGCCTTCTTCATCTTTGTGTCCATAGCACTTACTTAGTGCAGTCCTGGCCCTAGTAGTCAATAAATATTTGTCAAATAAGTGCTCACAACACCCTACAATAAAGAAACGGGCTCGGGGAGATTAAGTAGTTTGCCCTACACTACACTGCTTATAAGTGTAAGTTTTTAAATCAAATCTAATTCCATAATTCTTTCCATTCTAGTAAACTGTATTCTTGCTTTTCTAAAACACTCAATTTGCCTTAATTAAATTGGTATAGATTTAGATCCTTTGTCTTTTATAATATTTTGAGTTTCACCATTTTAGACGTGGCTGTTCTCACTCAGTTTGATTCTAATTCATTCTCAGAAGTATTTCCTTCCATTTCAGGCCCTTCTCTGCCATCTACTACCTACAGTTAGTATTAGCGACATTTTACTACAGAAAAACTGAGGTTCAGGAAGATTTAAGTGACTTATTTCAGGTTATAACATTTAAAAAAAATGTATGATTTTAAACTTCTGATATCACAGACTTGTGTCTTTTAATAGAATAAGCATTTTTTCAATTATGTAGTCATTATATAATCTTTTAAACAGCCAAAATTATTTCTCCCAGAACCGTCTTGCCTGTTTCTCTGACCTATGTTTGGTTCTCTATTTGATCCCTTGGATTAATGACTCCATTTTGAATTTGCTATCCTGGCTGAGTATACCAGTCTTCCAAGAAAAAGTTCTGGTATCTGCTAAGCTCTAGGCAATGCAGGTGGTAATCAATGCCTTGCTACCCAGGCATACAGAACTCAGAGAAAGGAAATATTCTTTGAAGATAAATATTTGAAAGTAGGCAGCAATAATAATAATTGCTAAACACGAGTTTTGCATCAGGCCTGGATTCAAATCCCAGCTCTTTTTTGTTGTTGTTGTTAACCCTCAGCCATTTTTAAGTGTGCAGTTCCATAGTGTCAACTGTAATCACATTGTTATGCAACTGGTCTCTACAACTTTTTCATTTAGCAGAACTGAAACTCCATACGTATTGAACAACTCCTCATTTCCCTCTCTTCACACCTCTGACAACCCCCATTCAATATTGTGCTTCTATGAGTTTGACTGCTTTAGCTATCTCATATAAGTGGAATCATACAGTGTTTGTCTTTCTGTGACTGGCTTGTTTCGCTTAGTATAATGTCCTTAAAATTCCCAGCTGTTCTTTTAACTAGCTGTGTGATCTTAAATGTTATCTCTGGATCCTGATGGGACACCATCTGGCACATAGTAGGTATTCAGTGCATGTTTATTGTCAAAATAATGTTAACCTTCAGGTCGTCTGGGTGGCTCAGTCAGTTAAGCATCCAACTTCAGCTAGGACGTCGTCTCATGGTCCATGAGTTCAAGCCCCACCTTGGACTCTGAGCTGACAGATCAGAGCCTGGAGCCTGCTTCAGAGTTGGTGTGTGTGTGTGTGTGTCTGTCTCTCTTTGCCCCTCCCCCACTCATGCTCTGTCTCTCTCTCTCTCAAAAATAAGTAAAAACATTTAAAATTAAATAAATAAATAAATAAATATAAATAAAAAATAATGTTAACCTTCAGATAAGTTGCTCTGAAAGAACAATTGACAAAATCTTAAACCAGAGGAATTTTCCTTTTTTTCTCTTCTTTTTTTAATTTAAATAGGACCCTATTTCCTATAAATGAAACCCATCAAGCTACTCTTCCTCATAACTAGATTAATCTTGTTCTGAATGTAGGATTATACCACATCGCATGGTTTGATCTTATTTTTCATTGTGCTTACAAATGTTGTATTTCATCCACGTTGAACATTACCATCTACTACTGTTAAAACAGTTTCTTTCCAGGACCCCTGGGTGGCTCAGTCAGTTAAGTGACTCTTGATTTCGGCTCAGGTCAGTATCTCACAGTTCATGAGATCGAGCCCTGCATCAGACTCTGCACAGACAGCTCAGAGCCTGCTTGGGATTCTCTCTTTCTCTCTCTCTCTCTCTCTCTCTCTGCCTCTCCCTGCCCCCCACTCTCTCTCTCTCTCCCTCTCTTAAACATTTAAAAAAGAAATTTCCCCCCCAAAATTTCCTTCTAACATTTGTATAGTCTCCAAATTAAAACATGAAAAGATGGTGTGCCATTTGTAACTGTTCCTAATTCCACATTCAGTTGATGTCACTCTGATAGCTTGAAATTTGCCATGGTGTGTGGGTGTTCTGGTAAATTATTAACAACTAGCTATCCAGAAAATAATTATATGTGTACATATATGTACATAAGTTTATACATAAACTTACCAACATAAAAGATGTGTAGCACACAATTTCTAAAAAATAGAATATACAATCTTTATCATAAATTTCTTTTTTTTAACGTTTATTTAAACATTAAACCAATGTTTATTGAGACAGAGAGAGAGAAACAGACCACAAGTTGGGGAAGGGCAGAAAGAGAGGGAGACACAGAACCCAAAGCAGGCTCCAGGCTCTGAGTTGTCAGCACAGAGCCCGACGCAGGGCTCAAACTCAGGAACCATGACATCAAGACCTGAGTTTAACCGACCGAGTCACCCAGGCACTCCTACAATCTTTATCATAAATTTCTTATAGCCAGTTGATTCTCACAGAATACTTTAACCCAGTTTTGCTGAATTCTTTTTTTTTTTTAATGTTTATTTATATTTGAAGGAGAGAAAGACAGAGCATGAGCGGGAAGGGGCAGAGAGAGAGGGAGACACAGAATCTGAAACAGGCTCCAAGCTCCGAGCTATCAGCACAGAGCCTGATGGGGGCTCCAACTCACAAGCCATGAGATTATGACCTGAGCCAAAGTTGGCCACCCAACCGACTGAGCCACCCAGGCGCCTCCAGTTTTGCCAAATTCTTGTTTTAAGAACTAACCTGTGATTTCATTTGACAAATGAGAATAGTTTTGACTATTGGTTGACATTTTCATTTATGTTAATCAATAAAATAAAAGTGAAACAATGAGACTTCATGTTGGAACTCCACTTATTTTCAGTGACTTAAGCAACATTTTTGCTGACTTGGATAATAGTTTTTGAAAACTTGAAGAATCTTTCAATTTTTTGAGCTATTGACAATTTAATGGCTATAGACATGATATACTTTTTTGTGTTTATTTTTTTTAATATCTTTATTTTAGAGAGAGAAGGAGACAGTGGGGCAGGGGCAGAGAGAGGGAAAGACAGAGGATCTGAAGTATGGTCTATGCCAACAGGAGAGAACCTGATGTAGGGCTCCAACTCATAAACCGTGAGATCATGACCTGAGCCAAAGTCAGAGGCTTAACCAACTGGGCCACCAAAGTGCCCCAACATGATACACTTTTAAACTTAATCTACATTAACTTACTCTCTTATCGCTTTCTTAAGTCTAGTCAACAAAATAAATAAATCAAGCTTTTGTTTGTAGCATTTGCCAATTCTGTATTGTAAATTCTCCCATTATGGCCAATTTCAGGCTACAAATATGACATCACTGAGCATGAAATTGGGAAGAGATGAACACACCATCACGTAGTATTTCCTCCGTATAGATAACAATAGACAGGGACTTCTGGTTTCCAATCTGATATGTAAAGAGCTTGGAAGTCATTGCCCCTGTTCTCATAATAACAAAAAAACATGAACAAACTGAAAATCAACAACCCTTGTTAGATCCAGCAGAGAACTGACATGACAGGGCAAACCTCCACCATAAAAACTAGAAAGACAGAATCAGAAGAGGCAGAACAGAAACTCATGGCTTACTGGGAGCAAAAACTACTTTTGAAACCAGAAACTGATAGGAATACTTGGGCAGTTGACTAACTGCTGGAGACTGCACATAGGCTAGATTGAGAGATTGAAACAAAAACAAAAACTCCTGAAGGCCCCCACATTTTCATGAGTTTTACCTCCAGGAGCCCCATAGGTCTTACTCTGAAGATTGGAGAAAAATCCCCTCATCCTTCTGGCAGGGAGAGAGAAAAAATACTTGGAAATAGACCCAGAGCATTCAGTTCTCCTTAACAAAGGCCTGTCCTCAATAGTAGCTACTTAACAGAGC